GAGGGAAGTGCCATGTGTGCCAATTCTAGAAACCAGTAAGGCAGTACAGCCTGCCCTATATTTTTTCAGACTTTTGGTACCTTACATAACTAGGTGCAAAATACTTATTTTTATTTCTGATTCTTTTCTTTGGAAGTGCAGTCATGTGCAATCAGATGGAATAAGTGTGCTGATAATTTTCCTTCAGAAATTGTAATGGTTAGCGATGTGGACACTTTTCTTTTTAGGCAGAAACCATGAGGCACTGAAGCAAGCATTCACTTTTCTTGCACTTGAGGTCACAAATTTATGCAAGTCAAAAATGTTGGGCCTGCCAAAAACATCATGCTACACTCCACCAAATAAAAGGACACTGTTATTCTTACAAGGAAAGGTTTGACAGGACAGGAAATAGGCAGGGTCATAGAAGTTTACTTAATACCGAAACTTGTTTAACTATCTTTAAGCCAAAATACAATAATAGTTATTTTTTAAAAAAATTAGAAGAGTGGGGGGAGTGAAGACATATACAAGAGCATTGGACTGTGCTGTTACCAGAGTAGCAACCAAAAGAGAAACTAGGGAACCGTAACAAAAATTCACATAACTCAGGTTCCTATATGTCACCTGCCTTTACTGGGTTAACATGTATTAAGTAAGTTTGAATTTATGTCCTGAACTTGCAGTGAGAGGTATCTGATTTGGAGAATCCAATGAAGAGTTTACCGAGCTATACACTACTTTTCATTACAATACAATCCTTAAGTAGACTGCGTTCCACTTAAAGGAATGGAGGAAGGGGGAGAAAGAAGAGAGTGAATATGAAAGATAGGAAAAATGTTGCTGTTCATTACAATTTTCCATTTTTGTTGAAACACGGCAGGAGAGCAAAGCCACAGGCTTCTCTACTGCTCTTGCATGCCAGGAGGGATTATGCAAACACTGCAACCACCCAAATCTTATTTAAATTATAGTCATTGTTCCCCCTTTAATGGTTATACTTTTGCCTGCTTTCACTCAAATATTGCTGCATCTTGCTTTCCGCCAACACAGTCCCAATGGGAGTCATCAACTCTTAATTACAGATGAACATATCTTTGAAAAATACCTCTGGAAAAAAGAGGAAAAGAAGGCAAACTTTAAGTGCCATCTAGTGGCTCAGCTACTAAAAGACATTAAATAGATCCAAAAAATTCTTAATGTACCACAAAATAATGTAACAGTAGCTGAACAGAGGAAGCAGTGCTTTAATTCACAACCACTAAAGACCAGGTTAATACTTTGGGGAACCAAGAAAAGGCCTAAAGATCAATGGTATCATTACCATAATTTTTAAGATTTTTGACTCTAAGTGGAGAGTTCAAATGGTAGGAATCATCTAGTCATCATGTGTTCCTTCAAGACCCTTATCAGCTTCTGCCTCAGTAAGGAAATACAAGTTGTATGTATTTCAGTCCAAATCAGGAAACAAGACCCTTTCACATCTCAAAATAGAACCCAAACCATGGAGGTGAATCTGGAGCCAGGCATCTGAATTCAGAAGTTTGCATTCTCCTCCAAATTCACCTGGGGTTGAAGGCCAGATGTTCTTGGTCTCTATTTGTAATAAGTCAAATCCATTTCTAAAAGAAAGGAGGCAGATTGTTAGTTTGTAATGCCCTTTTCCTTTCCTTGCAGGAAAAAGCCATTTTCTGATGTAGATGAGAATTCCCAACAAATTGTTTTCCATTATAAAAGCTCTGTATTCCATTTAGACAGACGAAGTTCCACAAGATCACTCCCAAAGCTTTAGGTAACTCCTCTTGGAGATAATGTGATAATGTCACCTCTTCTACAACAGCAGGTGACAGTTTAAACTTAAATAGCTTTGTCTGAACCTGTTCAGTGATAATGGAGAGCAGCCCAACATTGTTTTTATTCAATGTAATTTTCTTTGGGTTATTTTTTTACAAATAGCATTATACTTTGGGCTTGCTTTGGAGCTCTAAATCTCTTCAGTTTCATACCTATAGTAAGCCCTGGGGATCACACCTCGGTGACAGTTCTGGAGACAAGAATCTGTCTAGACAGAAGTAAGGCCTATACATGTTAGTGTCTAGCTTCTCATGAGATTACCTGCTCAAGCATGTCGTTCAGTCAATGACACACTTGTCCAGTTTTTCACTGAATTACAAAACTCATTTACAACTAGTGAATTTAGGCAGAAGGGTAGATCTCAGATAAAGTAATGAACAAGATCAACATTTCCCAGTCTTCCTTTTGCTAATATAAACATTTTTAAACATTCTGATTTTTTTTTTAAGAGGATCAAGTGTGCTAATTAAAGCTTAAAATGTACCATTACAAAGCGGGAAATTTAAACCTTGCTGAAGAAGTGCCAGTCTATATTCTTCCTGTTGCTTATAGGGAGAGGGTGAGTTGTATGAGCAAGAGCTGGGGGAAGTCAAAAGCTAGCTTCTGCAACAAATACCATTCTGTGCCTCCTGTGTACGTTTGCCAGATACCGAGATAAAATACGTCTGTAGCATAGGTAACATTAATGGAAAAAGGGAATGTTAAAGTAATTTGGAGGGTATTACTTTTCATGTTAATAAAATTGTGAGACTTTCTTTTTAAAAAAATAAAAGAAAAAAAAAGGGAGGAGAGATGTAGGCAGCATAGTTTGAACGAGAAAGTAGCAAATACTGTTCTAAGAACTCTCTACTCACTACCAATACAAGAAGTTTCTACAGGTTTCAATACAGGCCCTAGTCTGCTGTAGCAAGTATCAACTTAAGATAGTATTTGTCTTCTGGAAGTATTTGTCTTCTATAGATTTGCTATTCATATTGACGCCAAACCCCAACACTACAAAAGGAATTATCAGAATTTGTTACCCTAGTGTAATGGTTTGATGGACAGGGAGGAGTTCAGCATAGAGGTGAGCTTGAAAGCATTTCCATTGTTTCAGATAGACTTTTCCAAGGTCCTACTGAGAAAAGCCTTGCAGTAATCTTAAACTTATATGCTTCTCTAGGTAAGTATTGAGAAATGATGAAAAGGAACTTAACTATACCAATTTTCAAAATAAGTGAGCCCTTTTTGGTAATGATACTTAATGGTCTGTTTGTTGA